GGAGTGGCGAACCACATATGGCCCCGATAGGTTAGTTGTGGTATTGAACCGGACGACAAAAGAGGAAAAAGGTCAAGGGCGGTCAAACTCAGACCTGGCATGAGTGTATGAAAACTGTATCCAGGACATAGGGTTACATAGGTCTTTTCAGGCTCCTTGGATGGGGGTCACGAAATCATGGTAACCGGAGGTTGGAAACACTGAGGCATATGACTGCGTAGCAAACAGTTCCGCTCATGAATCTAATCAATAGCATTCCAACTCTAGTCTATATGAATTCTCTATCATTGCTTCAACTCTGCTGAGAGCGGTTTACAGAAAATTAGCTTGGCAACAGCATCTTCCCTTTTTAATGCAGGTTGAGACGATTAGATTTAGTGGCCTTTGTGAACGCTAAGCTCACGGGTCGTTATGAGTTGTGTTCCACCATGCACGATGCCGGCCTGGATTATTGGTGTGCATGAAGGCGGAAGTTTTAGAGAAATTCAAGCTGTCACAACACCTCAGACCACCACTAGATTATCAGAATGCGGAGTATCATTGATGAGGGAGCTGTGCTGCATAAAACTATCAGGTGGGGGGCTTTTGAGCTAGTTTCGAATGGCGATCAGCCAAGCTGGTTGGAACAGCTCATCGCAGTCTAATCGTCACCTTGCATTCGAAAGTCATCGAAACAAACGGACAGTTTAGTGCAAACTAATGCGTGGTTGGGGTCGGGGGCGCTCCTCCGGTAAGATTAGAAATGTTGTGTACAACCCCACCATTTGTGGTTTTCATTGATGTGGTTGATTTGGTCCGTCGCTGATTCAGAGGCCAACTGCGATACCTTGAATTTGAGCGGCTGAAGGCTAGCAATAGGTCAGTAGCTGTGCACAAACGATCGTCGACCGGAATCCAATCTAGCACGGTTCCAACTCGCACACTGAGAGTTACGCTAAAGGTCTTCCGAAACGTGCATGTGAAACTTCACAGATGGCCTCGATGAGGAGCCATGAGGAGGATAGAGTTAGGGTCGTGAACATACCACACATTGATGGCTAGAGTTTCGCGCATATGTGCCAAACACGCCTGTCCTGTACGCTTCCGGATTCGCATGTTAAATGTGGCTAGTTTCATCGATCATCGAGAACGAATATCTTTAGATGGTGGATAATTCCCTGAGACCTGAAAGCTGGTCGAAACAGGGTGCAAGAAAACAGTGGTAGGATTTACATTCAGCGCACTACCGTCAGTACAGTCGTCCAAAGTTCCCAGGACAAATGAATGCTATGGGAGCAATTGGGGTGAAATGGAGGAAAGCAGGTGACCCAGGGAAGTTCGAAGTGCAATAACCAGACACGGCCTATGGAGTTTGACTATGTAATCACCATTGGACGAATACCTGCACTGATCACCCAGCCCACCGGCGAGATACACAGGAAGCCGACTCATTCTCTGAATGGCTGTCGTGAAAAAACTGTTAGATCTAACAATCTTGTAGAACAAGTGATAAAAAAACACAAATATGCCAAAAGGGAGATTAAAGCAGATGTGCCATTTGTGAACAATAATTGAAACGGTATAAGGAACAGAATGAGTCTATCAAGATGTTGAAAATGCGTTTTTAACAGGAAGAACCTTCATCTGAAGGGGTATTGGCACACATCAGAGTATGGTACAGAGCAGACGGTAGCTGTGACAAGGACCCATTAAGTGACAAGTTGAACAACTTTGAGTACCTTCCTAGATAGTAGTGTCGCCGAAAACCAGTCCACTGACAGCAACCTAAATTACTCGCCAACCTGTCAAGTCAATAAGTCCAAAAATGAATCTGTTTGGCAAAACTCAATGAAAGGGAATGAATTTCTGAAGGACAAAATGCTAGTGAAAGAATTTGAAAAATATCGGAGGACGATTCTGCCCATGGATGCAATAAGCCAAAATAGTGGAGTGCGAATGAATTTATACGCGGCCCACGTATATATCCGGGGTTGATAGAAAAACAAAAGCAGAAAGAAAAACAACACAAAATCAATCACTCCGAGGCAGGGGATAACAGTTTGAGTGTTTAGGTCACCAACTTGTGACCCATAAGTCTCATAAGTCCCGGGTTCGAACCGCTCCACCACCGCCCATCTTCCCAGGTAGCCTTTGAATGGCCGCAGCCCCCCCCCCTTCGTGAATGTTGACTGTACATTTGTATATGCAATAAATAAAAAAAATTATGAAAAGTAAACAACTACATGTTTCATTGTATTGCGGTTATTTTGATAACCGACCTCAGGCTACGTCCGTCCTCATGCAATGCGTTCGCTGAGCTAAAACTCCATCCACATGGATGCATAAAGCTTTGATTAGACGTGGGGTGGTTGATGACGATTGTGGCTGTAACACAATTTTCCATTCTTTTAAGCAAGATGTGCTATTGGTGAAACAAAGTAGCGGGAGTAGATACATAAAACATATAGGAACGTCGAAGTAGCAAAGGTTCACCGAGTTGCGTGAGATTTCCCATTCAATGATGGAGATCAACAGCGTTGGAAGCTATAATAAAGATACTATAACACATCATCTGAAGATGCCAAAGGATATGACAGCTGAGTGACAGCAATTACATGATAGCTATTTCGAGAATCTCCAGCTGTATATCTACGATTGAGCTTGTTGTTGCATCAAGAATCAACATAAGTTCGTGTGATTTCGTAACCTGCTGTCGTTTATCCATGATCAACCCTGCATTAGACTGTCAACGTCATAATCACTGAGAATGATATCGCTGTATCTGAATGTAAGACCGTAACTATGATTCTCTGTGGTGTATCGAAGTGACCAATTTGACCCTCGATATCCCTCACCCAGGGAGAAGCAGTAAGCTGACCGTGAAGTTTCGGGTTATGGTTTGGTGTAGGAACCATACTAACAACTTCAATCAATCTCGCGACTATGCCTGTGTTATCATCAGGAAGTAGAAGAACAGAAAGTGAGCTTCGAAAATTGAGTTCAACTAATTCCCAACATTAAATCTTTTCCGGTTGTTAATAACTGCTAAGGGCAACAAATGTAGTAAATTGGTCGACATTGTCATAAACACCTTCAATGAGCATCCTGAAACCACATATGAACGGCAGTTAGCTCGTATTTGGTAATATTCGGCAAGTGTTAGATGACTATCGTATCACTCTCATGACGGATCAAACCGTGTGCTGCACGAGACGCTGGTTTGAAGCTTGTTTGTTTGAAGCAGATGACATGAATAATCTGGTTGAGTGAATACACCTAGCCAGACGCCAGATAAAAATGTCGAACACTGGCGTTTCTAATCCGAAGATCTGTTTCCTCCATGCCGCGTGGCAACTAGTGAATAATAACTAAAGAAGTAATTGAGTCACATAAAAGTGAGTATACTCACTGCGGCGAAACGGCCAGGAGAGACTTTGGATAAGGGTTCCGGCCAAAGGTACAAGGCCAGAAGATAAAATTGATCGTTGTAGCAGGGATTGTGAAGACGAATAACGCGACAACGCAGACGAGGTAGAGCAAGAAGACCCCATTGAAGTTGTGGCAGCACGCTTTCTCCCAGGACGCACTGCGCAATGAATTTGGGAAGGATTTGAGCTACCACCCTTAACACAGTTAGCTTCCTCTGGGTACGGACTGGCCAGAATAAACGGCAGCATTGTGACAGGAGTCGATGATGGCCTAGATGATGCAGTGTTCTTTCTATCCATGGCGCTAGATGAATCATTATCGTCGGGAGCCCTGTCTCTGAAGGAGTTGCAAGCTCTCAGCGGAATGGAGGCCGCAAAGCCTAACGCTGAGACAACAGCCCGTGCGGTACCAACCACAACTGCGCCAACTGCAATGTTGGGCAAAAGGACAAAACAGGAGAGCTTTTCAGACGAATTTTACTTGGGGCAGCTATACCCAAAACATTGAACTCATTTCGGAAAATCGATCATTTACGTGAAGCCTGTCTGTGAAATAGACCGGCAGCGGGGTAAAATTGTACGTGACAATGGGTTTACGTAGAAGCAGGATGAATGCGCTCGAACAGTACATGCAGACGTATACACACAGTTATTACATTGATGCGGCAATCAACAAACACCGAAGAAACAGCAATGAATATTGAGAATGAGCGCTCATTAGAGCAATGAATATAATTTGCCTAACCCTAACCAAAATTAGGCTAACGTATGCAAGCGGTGGTAAGTGGCGTTACGGGTCGTTGAGTTTGACAGTCGAAAAAGTGGTAAAAATGGGTAGCATTCTGCTTAAAGTCAATTACAGTTAAAGAGAAGCCATCTATTAGTTATTCACGTTAATCTAGGTAACCATCGTACCAACATCAGTTTGGTGACAAAAATAGCCTCGAAAAGTGAATCTCGAAGCGAAGTAACTTGAAACACATTAAGTGAAACTCGCATTGAGAAAAGCTTGTTCACTCACCTTTATGCATAGTGCTATCGGAGTTATTTGCACGACTTTCGATATTACCAGTAGCTGCCTGATTGGATGCAGCGGAAGAAGCTGGGTTAGCAACAATGGGAGCATCAATGGTATCTTCGGCATCCGTTGGGACAGGGTCCGCGTCATCTTGTTTGTCTCCCTCGGGTAAGAGACCCATATCCATTAGGCGACGATTATGCTCCTGGGTTTCAAGCTCTTCTAATTCCTCTAATTCCTGTTCCAAGAGCGCTTGTTGTTTACGTTGCTTGCGTCGCATCCGGCGCTTACGGCTTTTTGTCATTTTCACGCTTTCCTCTTTTTCTTTTGGTGCTGTACTCACTAGGAGAAGCATCGGTCCGAAAGCAATTTGAAACAAAACAAACCAATAAATACGCTATCAAATGATTTGCGTGCTTATTATACTATGTATCATATTTCACAAGAGTTTGATTCTGAACTGTTGCGAACAAATCACAGTGCAATGTCTATAATGAGGAAAAACTTTCCCTCCCTATTTCGTCAATGAAATCTTAGCGACAGAGGTTTTGGCTGATTTTAAATCAGTTGATAATCTAAATTGTATATCATCCGAAAAACAAACGTGAACGCTAAATTTTGAAGTAAATAAGTATGAAAACTAATTTCAACATTATTGGGAGCCATTACACGGTCGCCACTTAACAAGAGAAGTTCTTAGTGCACATACCTGCCGAGCCAGACAGCTGTACACCGCGCCGCTGCGCATCGAGCGCTTCGGCTGCCATACGACGAATCTGCGAATCAGAAACGCATACTAGGATATTTTCCGGTTTGATATCCGTATGTATGATGTGACACTTGGTGTGCAAGTAGTGCAACCCTTGGAGAGTCTGAAGTCAAACGAATAAAGATGAAATTATTGAAGACAGTTGAACTCGGACAACCGTCCACTAGATGAAGCTCTCTGAAAAGACAAACTCAGGGCTGAAACGTAACGATTTGTGGTAACGTAAAGCCTGATCACACGTTAAGTTGAATTCGTTCAAAGAACAAGAGCTGGACAAACGATACATATGCCAAAGCGAAAATGATGACATACTTTTCACTGAAAATTTTGTCCACATTGGATGAATAAAGTGCACTCTCAACTTGACTTGATACCCAAGTTCACATTTTAGCGCAGCGAACGAGAATTAATGGGAACTGACTTAAGCACCTTGCGTACAATGGCTGTGATAGGGTTAGAACCTCAGATTTTAAACCATTCGATAGAAACCCTAGTAGTCTGGCAGTTATGATACAGGGAACATGTCGTGTAAGTCATCTGCCTCTCGCCTTGAAATAAATTAAACCGAGGACAGCTGAATTAGGGGAACTAAAAAAACCAAGTCTCCTAATATAGATGTGATAAACGAAATGGCGGAAAACTGTGATTATACTAAACTGCAGAATGCACGCTGCTTCACGGATGAGGCTTTGACTAGCTGAAGGCTCCGGATGCGATTGCCCAATGATATAATCAACCTGGGATTGGTCCGCTAACGAACAAATCACGGACAGATATCATTAAGTGTTATATTACTTCTACTACCTGGACTTGTTATTATGCTTGATCATTTGTACCACATTGAAATTCTTTTTCAATCATCCTTCTTTTAAATTTATTTAAACTTTCGAAAGCCTTAGAAGGTCGGGGTAGGTGTCTGGGATCGACTGGACACAATTTCCTTACATCTCGCGAAATGCTCCTATATGACCAAGGGTCTCAAATAGCCTCTGCTGAAGAAGCCCTACCCATTGCCTTCTCGTGGCGGCTTTTACTCACCAAAGTGAGGAGACGAAAAGCCGACATCCGGGGCCATAACCGGGTTGGTGGACCAATGGTAGTTCACCTAGGGGAGTTGGCCAAAAACCCTGATTCCAAAACTACCATGAGGAGGCGTACGAGCTACGCACAACTTCCTGGTTGTGGCAGTGGTCACCGGCTCGATTGGGCACTTTGGACGTTTGACCCCGTCCAAAGGGTGTGATCCAGCGAACTGGGCACCGGCCCCAAATGGTCTTCGAAATCTGAGCTCCGTTCTGTTGTCTTGCGGATCTGGCTTTCTAGCCAAAGGTTGCGGGTGGGAACCCCGAGGCTATCCCCTTTCCTTGGCCGAAGTAACTGGGAAGTAACATGCCCACACAACCCATGAACACATAAGAATGTGTTCAAATTTCTTTCTGTTTACATGTGGCATATATACCAGTTCTTTGTAATTGGTTACGTGTTGAATAAAAACGAAAAAACTCATTGTTGAATAAAGCCTAAAATCTGGGATGCCTTCTACACTATGCAGACCGATTGATTGCTCGGGTATTCAATAAGATTTATACAGTAAAAAATACCGCAATGGAGCTCCATCGACGGCCTACGGTTCTAGGCCAATGTTTTGAAAATTCGCGGACGACTGTGACAAACCGAACCTTTTGTACAGCTGCGTCTCCCCGAATGTTCATAACCTTTGGCGCTGTCTCACTCCTATGGGTGTCCGAGGAAGTAAATTTTATCTTTCGATCTCTTTATACTAACAGTCAAAGCCGAGTTCGAGCTTACGATACTTTTTCGCCTGAGTTCATTACAGAAAGTGTTCGTCATGGTTGACCTCTCTTATCATCATCAACATCGTACAGCAAAATACAGGGAATCAAACTTCACTGATCGCTGCCAAACTCGCAATGCATGTGCATCGGGGTTTGATGGACGGGTACTGCTAGGGTGTCTAGCCACTAAGCGTGGGAACGATCAGGGTTCTCAACTCAAGTCTTTAGTTCTGATAAGAACCTAACCGCAAGGCAGAGGCTGAAGCGGATCAGTTACTCCTCCACCATTTTTTACCGACTGAAATGCAAATTCTATTTGAACCCCCAACCTGGAGGACCAGGAGACTGGACTTCGTCCGACCTCTACCCTTCGACCTTCCAGGTATGATTAGATCTTCGGCTTGAAATAAGCCATCCTGTGTAGCTCGTTGGGTCAGAGGTGCACAAGCCATCACACCACGTCAATGTGCAGTCTCGTCGTGATGCCTCTCTCTCTCCGTTTCTATTCAACTTCGTCAGACGTAATTTTGAAAACAGCTCTATCCCCATGCGAGGATAGCGGTATCGAGTTGCTTCCGGGTGGTGGTAGATTGCCTGATCTGGTGTGCTGCTAAATGCGGGGCTTTTCTGGATAGTCTGAGCGCTAATGTAGCCTTGTTCGATGTGTTTTGCACCCCCAAAATGTGAAAGGCTTCTACAAGATTGAGTTGGCCCGGCTCTCAATCTCACTTTAACTGGGGAAGTTGTAGAGGAAGTAGACAAATTTTGTTATTTGACAGCTATATCTCACCCATCACGATGAGGCTGCAGCTTGAGATAGTGTGCAACCCACTGACCCAACGAGCTACACAAGATGGCTGCTGCCATACCAAAGATCTAATCATACCTGGAAGGTCGAAGGGTAGAGGTCGACGAAGTCGTCTCCTAGTCCTCCAGGTTGGGGGTTCGACTAGAATTTGCATTTCAGTCGATAAAAATAGTGATCGATCTAAGTAAATAGACCTCCAATTTGCTTCACCCGCTGCCTTGTGGCTAAGTTCTTGTCAGAACTAAAGGCTTTGGTTGAGAACCCTAATCGTTCTCATGCTTAGTGGCTGGACACCCTAGCAGTACCCGTCCAGCAAACCCTAATGCACATGCATTGCGAGTTTGGCAGCGATCAGTGAAATTCGCTGTACGATGATGATGACGCGTCGCAGATGAAGTGTCAGCACGCGTACAGAAGGCTCCATTGGTATTTGCCATTACAGCGAGACTCTACCTTGACGTGGTGTGTTGGCTTCTGCATCTCCGTGACCCAACGAAGAAGCTTCGCGGTGGTCAGACCATGACGCGGCGTAGAGGTATGAACTTAGCCTCAGCATTGGCTTCGGCTGGTGCAGCTCGCCTTCCATGCTGGGGCCCAAGGGATGAGTATTACAGAAGGCTAGAGACGCTGGGAGATATGGCTCAGAATAGATATCTGTGGTGCGATTGCTGTGCGGTTTGTTAGGCGGAACCCCGTTCCCCATAACATAAAAAAATCTTCAAAAAGTGTACGGTGAAACTACCAAAAAAATTTCATTCAGTCAGTCATTCGTTCTACGTGTTCTCAGTCTTCCCCATTTCAATTGAATCTCTCTGTACCCCTCCATAACTTCATTATCATTGCTTTGCGTTGGCACCATGCTTGTTCTCAAGCCGGTTTAATACATAAATAACTGTCAAGCCGAAGATTTAAGGGTCGAAAGGGAAGGTTAGATGAAGTCCACTCTCTGGGTTCGACTGGAATTTGCGTTTCGGTCGGCACAAAATGGTAGAGGAATAATTTATCCCAGTAAATGGACCTCTACTTTGTTACACCCAATCTTGCTGTTCGGTTCTTATCAGAACTAGAGGCTTTAGTTGAGAACCCTAATCGTTCTACTGCTTAGCGGTTAGACACTTTAAGGGTACCCGTCCACCAAACCCCAATACATGTGCACACAAACTAAAAATAATTCCATATTGCATCGGTCGTCGAGCAGGATAACCAGGACCGCACTGACCATTGCATTGAGTGGGGTACGTAGTGACAAGTGAACTACTGCTCAAATATCCCAATCTTTGTTTAATTGACTTCGGTGCCTAACCCTCTCCCCTCGCCTCTTCTCCCGACTTGTAATAATCTCGTAAGTGCCTTGGCTGTCACTCGCCAAAGGTCGTTGCCAAAAAGCAATGTAAGTAATCGACCACGAAATGGATTGCAGATTCTGAAGCCTTGTCAATCACTGAATCTGAGGGCCTTAAACGTGAGGACGCTGATGCGTGGTCAAATAAGCTTGTCTAGCGCGTACAATTGAATCCTTAGGGATCGATATTTGCTGCGTATCGCAGACTCGAATTCACGATCTTTCTACTATAAGCCATTTAGACGCGCCAGGTATATCCTCAAGGTACACCCCTCGCAAATCAGACAACGGTCATTCAGCAGGTCAGTGCGAAGAGGTTTTACACTCAGTAACCGGACCGAGTCCCCTCTTATTGATGGGATAACCGTCAACAGTCGTTTATGTGCAATGTCTCCAGGGTTCAATCAGCCTCTGAACTCATTTGGATGAGTCAGAGCTCCGACCTAGGCGCACTTGCAAGTGACTTGAACGCGAATATTGGAAAAGCGAGCGCATAAAAAGCTAGCCTATGTGGTAGTTGTGCTCTGCCCTACCTCGCATTATGAAAAAACGCTGTTTTTCTGATGAGGAGAAAACTAGTGTTATGGTAAAAGTAAGTTAGAAGTGAAAACATTGTTCTCAGTTTGCCTGTTGAACTCCTTGGAGACCAAAAGTTGACAGTTTTTTTCGACTGAAGACATCAAGGAAAATGACAAAAATCAACGGAGGGTCGAGCTATTATTTCAGTTTTAGATTACACAAGCAGGATTACAGTAAAACGGAGATAAACCCATTATCGTTTACACAGACCTAAAGCGCGACGCTGACCACGCCCTCTCCCGTCGACTTCGCCCGGCTGACGCTTTGCACACTACAAGAATTGAACGGCTGACAATGCCCATCCGTTAGGCTTAGGGAGGACAAAATATCTACCATACTCCAACGAAGAAATTAAAGCCTTTGCCGTTCTTACTGGACCGTTTTTAGATTATATTCTGACTATCTAGTCAAGTCTACATCCCCAGTTGAACGACCAAACTTTAGGAGTCTAATTTCTTAGGTCTTCCAAATTA